AGGCCTGATGACCCACAGAGCATCCCTGAGGAAACACTGATGAATACACGAGGTCTTTAGATACTGTCACAATAATTTTTGTTTTGCTCTCTTTTACTGTTGTGTTGGTGTGTACTTTCCACTTTTAATAAATTTTTATACAAAAAGCATCTTGAATATTAGAGATATCAATTAAAACTGCTAATATTAAGGTATTAATCATGAAGGTCTAAATCATGATTTGATTTCTTTCTTTTTTTAAAAAAATTTGTAGTACATTTTTAATCACTTATAGCAAAGCGTGAAGACATGTAATGCATTTCCCCATTTAAACCTGAGATTTATGGTTTTAATTGTAAGAGCCTGAGATTACGGTTTCCAAAAGCATGCTTGTTTTATATGTCATAATTTAATGTTTTAAGTTAATGTGCATACTGTGGGTTCATTGGGATGGGAGCATTTATTCTAATGTATGAGATTATTAGTTAAACATTAAGCCTTATCCAGCACTGAAATGATATTTAACACTTTAACTTCTTAGTTATAATGGCAAATACTTGTTTGTTCCAGTTATAACATGTGTGTACATGACAAATAGTAAGAAATAGGCATAAATAATGTTGTAGGAAATCAGCAGCTACTTCAGTCATCTTCCTGCCATTTTGCTTTTTCTGGGCTTAGAATTACTAGTGAATATATTACAGTTTGGGTTTCAGTTCGGGGTTTTGAGTTTCTTTTTAATTATTTTAAGTGTTTAACATTTTAATTATTTCTGCACATATCGTTGAATTCTTGTTTTGATTTTTGTCTTCATTAATTATCTCGTGTTTCCTCCCCCGACAATGCTTTCTTGTATTTTCCTCCTGAAACGGTTCACTCACGCTTAGCATACTTTTATGTTTCCTGTAACCTTATTTCAGTAATGTCAATACTTCAATGCTTTCCTTTATTACCTCTTTTAGCATACAGGATTAAGATACACTGAACCATCCTTGGTGAAATAAAGATATTTATCTCCTAATTTATAGTGACAGACCATGCAGTTGATGAAGAAAAAGGATAACAAAACTAGGCTTGTGACATAGAGCATTTTAATGTTAATCATACGTGTTCTTTTCAAAAAAATTTTGGGGGGATACCGAACTGTTAAATCCACAGATGATTTTTGATGATTATACTGCTGTAATAAAATCGGCTTCTTCTCAAGAATTTTTATAAGCTCTATTGACAATTTATCAATTATTAAAGCTGACTGGTGGTCACTGTCACATTGGTTTTTTTGTTTGTTTTTTTGCTTCCTGTGGGAGTCACACATCTAGGTTTTACTCCAGCACATTGCAATGCAGCTTTTATGTCATTTAGTTTACTTGTTTCTTAATCTGCACTGATTCTAAAAGAATGCATGTAGTTCAGTTTGTATACTGTTCAATAAATCTTAAGTGCAAGCAAATATTTTCATTAGTCATAAGATAGAAAGTTTTTTTTAATACCCCAGATCTTTTTGCCCTAAAGCCACCAAAAAATTGCATTGCGGGACCAACATACAGTGGCGTGAAAAAGTTTTTGCTCCCTTCCTTATTTCCTACTCTTTTGTGTTTGTCACACTTCAGTGGATTTTCTAAATGAAGGTCCCAGAACCTAGGCAGAATGAGAGGAGGTAAGAAAGGTCAGAAGAAATGAGAAACAAGTGCAAAGTGTCCAGATCAGATTTTTCCCTCTCTTGTGCTTTCTCTCCTTTTTAAATCCACACTCTCTCTTTAAATGTCTGCTTCCTCTCCATAAACCCAAACGCACTACTGCCACGGTAAAAAGACAGAGCGAGCCCCAGAGAGCAGCGCCATCATCCCCATCAAAACAGCTAAACAGCCAGGCAATATGCTAATGAACTTCTTAATGACTACCACCACTTAGGAACTGCTAATTAAAACCCATTTAATTCAGAGACACTTATCAAGCTCTAAGGAAAAAAAAGCATGCAAAAATTTCCCAGGAAGACAAGCAGAGTTATGGCCACCTTTGGTATTTGTCAAAGCCTTCCTACTCCTTCCCCTCCTGTTTTGCCCTCCTGTCCGTCTCTGTCACTCTGTCCCGCCGGCTCGATTGCCTCTAATGGACGTGATTTATTTAGGCTGACCTAACCATTGTCAAAGGGAGCAGAATTTGTGAGCTTTTAGAGTGGGCACACTCATCAATGAGCTAGGGGGTTGGGGGCAGTCACGACTGGGAGTAAGTGGCGGGTGCAAGCAAGTGGGGCATTGCTTGGCAAGAATCTATCCATGCAATCTCCAGGCCACTTCATTAGCCACCCCGTACACATCTACACCCTCTATTCTCAGCTATGTAAATAGGATGCCAGCTAAATACTTAATGAGAAGTGAGATATGAGCATTTGAACCATCTGTGTAATGCACAGAACTAACTGCTAAAATCCAAATGCATCTTATTGTAGCCACTGAAGATTCAAGGAAACTTTTTTTTTTATTAGAAAACTTTCTAAAATAAATTCTTCTTTTTCTCTTTACTGTGTTAATTCCTCACACACACACACAGAAAAGATAGGTAGATACATTGAGAGAAGCTGCAATTGACAAAGAGAAAACACAACTGAGAGAAAGTTAGAGATAGAGCGAGCCAGAGGGAGTGTGCCCCCTCAGCCCTGGAGGAGAAATCGGATAGGGCCACTTTAAAAATCGCTTAACACGCTCCACACAAAAGACAGCTCCGGAAACTTGAGCCATGTTTGATTTGAGTGTCAGGGTGGGAGGCACTAATCTGCAGACATGTCGGGCACAGGTGGTGAAACAATCAAACAGCCCTAAACTTATATCACCCACAGAGATACAAAAAGCTCGGTCACATGCACATATACAAAAACACTTAGGCGTGGAAATGGAAATGGCAACAAGCAAACCCATTTAATTAGCCGCACTTTGCACTCAGGCATGTATGAAAACATACATGTGGAGACACACATGCACACACAGAATATATATTAACATGTTTATTTTACATCAAATGTGATGTGTCAGAAGACTGAAAGAAGAAGAAAGGACATTTAAAATACAAACTTTTATGGGCATATCTATGACATTCTGCTCATTCTTATATCAGCATCACCTTTACTGCATACTTATACCTACGTTGCCCATCACCCGTGAGCATGCACAGAGAACAAATTCAAGCAAAAACACAGTCAGTGTATGCATCCCAGCCAGACTGTAATACATGCCTCTGCGATTCAGGCAAAACGAAACCTATCATATGCTGTCAGGTGTGGTAACTTGAACGCCCGGTATTATTTGCTAATCTTATTTACACTCTGAAAGTGAGCAGTGGAGTGTAAATCTCTGGTCGCATCTGAGCAGGCCTCCAATTCGCACATGTAAGTTGCTGCTAACACTAACTTCTCTCGATAACAAGGAACCAGTGATTTGAATATAAGTTTGCTTTTTTTAGGTGAATCAAACCTGACATACTGGAAATCCGCTGCAGTAGATTGCAATTTTGACAACGACTCAGTGACTTTAAAAAAACAAAACAAAGCAAAACAACTGACTTCTGTAATTCATTACATCTTCATTACATATCGTTATTTCTCACACTGTGCCACTGAGAGAGATTGGATGTTGCACTAGAAGAGAAAGGGGTCTTCCCCAGAGGGTCTCCCCCCAACTCAACTGGAAATATGAACCATTTCAGACTTAAACAGGAAATCTAAAAAAAAAAACCGAAAAGTGGATCTATGACCATGTGAGGGATCAATCACACTTTCAGACTCCTGATGTGTTTGCTCCTTCCTTCCTAAGTAATGTCAAGTACGATGCAGCATTGTTCACCGCAAGGATGTGGCATGGGGAACATAACACAAGGCAATCAGAATTTAATCTCTTTACAAGAGAACTCAAACACTGAGATAACTGACCTGATTAAAACACACACACACACACACAAACACACCTACACAACCGGTAAAGAAATATACTTGTCTAACCCACCAACAGAATAATGAGGTACCATCCTTAAGATCACAGCTTTTACTTTTCATGTATTTAGGGGTACATTTCGTTCTGCACAAAATATTAAACTAAATTTAAATATGATTTTCACAAAGACTTGACACTTAACCAAAGACACAATGCCTAAGATGAGTAAGTAACAGACACCAAACCAACTTCATTTCCAGTTGACCGGAGAGGTTCACTGCATTTCGTCTTCCACGTAAATAAATTTCTTCATAAGTAGTACAGTGCGGCATACTAGTACAAATATTAGGTTGTCCAGAACATGCATTTGCCAGGTTGTTAATTAGCTCCT